TTTAGGTCCTTTCTTGCTACAGTTGTTAAGTGAATCACTGTAGTTGTTAAATTAATAACATGGCTGTTATGTGAATCTGGCTTCCCCGTTGATTTTGCTTGTTGGAAGTTTTTGCATTTTTTTTTGCTCTACCTGGGAAATGGCTATACCTATCATCCCGTTCTCCCTTTTTCAAGGACACAGCTGAAACTACTATAATTGATAACTTAGATGGCTTTAAAGATAAATGTTATGTGTTATGTGTTCTGTAGCTTTATTTAGCTGATACCTGCTTTAACCAGTGGTGATGTAGTCCCTGATGACTTCTCACAAACTGCTGGAGTCAGCCAAGAGGTGATTAAAATTTCTGCCATTTTCAAGAAAAACAGGGAAATTTGATGATGAAATTCTTTATTTATATCCCTGATGACTTTTCTGATGGCTTTCAAGAGCCAATTTTTCAACATAGATACTTCTAGACGGTAGTTGAAACTAAACTAATTTCTCTAGGCAGAGTTTAATATCTGGACTTTGAGCATTTCCATTAGTTTGTTCAGCTTTTCTTTGTGTAACAGATCTAAGAAGGTTATCAGTGCGAGAATTGGTTGCAGTTATTTTTTCATCACTCAGGGGTGTTGAAACTTGGCAACTTGAACATCTGTGGATTTCAACTCCCAGAATCCCTCAGCCAGCCATGAAGAGGTTTTCTCGGATTTTGACTGAGGAATTCTGTGCACTGAAGTCCACAAGTCTTAAAGTTACCAAGTCTGTAGATCCCTGAGTGAGGAAAAAATAACTGCAACCAATTCTGTATGAGACAATTGCTAAATGAGAACTGCTTGTAAAAGTAATTCTTCCCAGTCTGATTTTTTTGTAGACCAGTCAAGGTCTGCCTTTTTCTTTAAGGTGCTTCATTCCTCACTATTCTTCAAAGCACCAGAGGGCAGGACCAGAAACAATGGTTGGAAACTGATCAAAGAGAGAAGCAACCTGGAATTAAGGAGAAACTTCCTGACAGTGAGGACAATTAACCAGTGGAACAGCCTGCCTCCAGAAATTGTGGGAGCTCCATCACTGGAGATTTTTAAGAAGAGGCTAGATGGTCACTTGTCTGAGATGGTACTATAGGGTCTCCTGCTTGAGCAGGGGGCTGGACTAGAAGACCTCCAAGGTCCCTTCCAGGTCTATTTCTATTTCTATTCATTAGTTCCTGTGGATTTCCTTTGTTTTCCCAGATAGTTTCACAGATAGATGCCTATACCCATTCCATTCTTCCTCATTTATCTTCTCTAACATTACCAGAAACCCTTTCTATTTTTGCTTCCTCCTTCCTCCCCGACGGTACCATCGTATTTCTGATACTACAATAATCAAAGCAATAGTGAACAGGTTGTTCTTTCATTCCTACCATCCTGAACTCAACATTGTTAAGTACACCATCCCCACAATCTATTAAGAAAGTAAAAAAAAAAAAAAATCAGGTGAGTTGGGCAGTGCTTGTTTTTGACAAACCCTTGTGGTTTTCTGAAAATTACTGTAATGGTTTCAAGGTGCGTATAAACTGATAATGATTTCTTTTTGATCTGCTGTAGAAGTTTCCAGGGAATTGATATCAGGCTGATTAGTTTGTAGCTGCAAGATTCCACTCTTCCCTGTCCCTCCCTTTAAGACAGGGACACGTGCTTTCTTTCAGTTAGCTAATTCTCCAAATTTTCTCAAAGACAATATGTAAGACTTTGGCCAGAGTCCCATCAGTAAATGTAGTTCCTTTACTTCCAATTACTCGTTTAGCGACAGTTCAAAGTGACAATGGCACTGAAAATGACTTAATGACAGTCCTTGACTTAACAACTGTTGCCTCCCCACAATCATGTGATCAAAATTTGGGCCCTTGGCATGTATTCATGACAGTTGCAGCATCCAGGTGAGGGAAGTCAGAGCCCCAGAGAAGAAAATATTAAAAAGGCAGAAAAATATTTTTCCTCAAAAGGGTTTTTAAAAGCAGAAACCAAACCTGGCCCCAAATCTCTCTGCCCCCAAGCAGTAGCCAGCCCTATACAAATGCAAATGTAAAACCATCAGAAAGTTGGAGCCAGAGAACTCAAAAAGACAAAGAGACTTAAAATCTGCATACCCCACCCAAACTCTAGGAGTCATTAGCCCCATCACCAGGGAAGCAGGATATGACTTCTGGGACATAATAGGACTAACCCATTACCATCAAGTATACCAGAGAGGCACACCTAAACTCAGGTCAGAATATGTGACACAGGAAATAGCCTCAAAGTTCATGCCACAGGAACAGGAAACTTCCAAAAAAAGGCTAGAGAGGGTATAAAAACCTACTGCCCATTTCATGTGCTCAGCCCTTTCTCTCCTCTGGTCTTTCCTGCAAGAACCATCTTTCTGCCTCTTCAATAAACTTTAACCTTCTTCCCAAAGCCGTTGCCATGTTGCTTATTTATTCCTAGCTTGATGAACCAAGATGAAGACTTACTTCCAATACTGGGTCCCATGATCACCATTTGTGACCTTCCTAGCTGGCTTCCACCAAAGTCAATACAAGAAGCTGGATTTGTTTAATGACCACACAATTCACTTAGCACAGTGTTTCTCAACCTTGACAATTTTAAGGCATGTGGACTTCAACTCCCAGAATTCCACAGCCAGCAATGCTGGCTGTGGAATTCTGGGAGTTGAAGTCCACATGCCTTAAAATTGTCAAGGTTGAGAAACACTGATTAGTCTTAGCAACTGCTGTGATTTGCTTAACAACCATGGCAAAAAGCTCACAAAATTGGGTGCAACTCACCCAACCATCTTGCTTAACAACAGAAATTCTGGTCCAATTATGGTTGGAGGTTGAGGGCTACCTGTATTAGACAAACACCAAATGTCATTTTGGGAATTAAGACACGTAGTGGCCTGTACTCTTAACAGATTTTTAGTCTGAATACTTGTTAACACAGCCTTACATATTATATTTGAGAAAATTTGGAGAATTAGCTAACTGAAAGAAAACAAGTGTCCCTGTTTTAAAGGGAGGGACAGGGAAGAGTGGAATCTTGCAGCTACAAACTAATCAGCCTGATATCAATTCCCTGGAAACTTCTACAGCAGATCAAAAAGAAATCATTATCAGTTTATACGCCCCTTGAAACCATTACAGTAATTTTCAGAAAACCCGCAAGGGTTTGCCAAGAACAAGCACTGCCCAACTCACCTGATTTTTTTTTTTAACTTTCTTAATAGATTGTGGGGATGATGTACTTAATAATTTTGAGTTCAGGATGGTAGGAATGAAAGAATAACCTGTTCACTATTGTTTTGATTATTGTAGTATCAGAAATACGATGGTTCAGTATTGGGCTGACAGTTTCAAAGGATTTCTACAATACCATGAATCACCCTTATATTATTGGCTATTCTCTATAAAGATCCTTTTTCCTATTATTCCAACTTTCACATCAGAAAAGACTTTGGAAACCACGTAAGAGTTTGTGTGGGATCATAAAGTTGTAGGCAATACCTCGGATAACATGACTCTAGTTTATTTATGGCAGGGACATTCAACATTTCAGAGAAAATCTGCCTAGAAAGTGCAATCCCAACCAATGGATTGGTTATTCCATTTTGCATGTTCTTTCGAGCACAGCTAGTCCTCAAGTAATACTAAACTATTTGTTTAGTAACATTTTGAAGTTGCAATGCACTGAAAAAAAATGACTTGTGACCAGTTTGCACTTAGAAGCACTGCAGCATCCCCATGGCATGGTCATGTGATCAAAATTTGGGCGCTTTGCAACTGGCATGTAGTTATGATGGTTGCAATATCCTGGGATCATGTGATCATCATTTGTAACCTTCCCAGCTGGTTTCTGATAAGCAAGGGGGAAGCCAGATTTGCTTAACAGTGTGATTCACTTAACTATGGCAAAACAGTCATAAAATGGGGGCATGACTCACTTTAACAACTGCCTTGTTTAGCAATAGAAGTTTTGGGTTCAATTGTGCTAGTTAAGTGGAGGACTATCTGTAACTCTGTACTATTCATGCAGGAAGTTTTCACCCTTGGTCCAGCCAGTTCTGCAAATCTATTTTGCATGCATATAAAGTGTTGCTTGATTTTGGCACTAAAACCCAAACAGATGTTGCACAAATCTTGCCCCAAGAAAGGCAGAGCTCCAATCTTGAGTCTTTTCCAGCTTGGTGCTCTCCAGATGCAAGGAGCATGCATGTTTTATTAATTTAGTATCCTGAGCTGAGGCAATATGCATAAATCTCATCTTTGCTCCCCCCCCTTATAACCAGGTTGGATTCTGAGTCCCACACCACGCAGCGAGCCAAGGGTAGACTTGAGCCAAGTTTCCTCCAGAAAGCAGCTCAACTCTTTATGGCAGTGGGGAAACTGATGGGAACTGCAGTCCCCTTGCATGGTTGGGTGGGTGGGTGTGGGTGTGCGCGTGCGTGCGTGGGGAAAGACGATGGGAACTGCAGTCCTCTTGCACGGGGGAAACTGATGGGAACTGCAGTCCCCTTGCACGGGGGAAACTGATGGGAACTGCAGTCCCCTTGCACGGGGAAAGATCATCGGTACTGCAGTCCCCTTGCACGGAGGGAAATCAAGGGGCGGGAGCTCCAGTCGATATGCAGAAACACATTCCCCCCCCCCCCAAGAAGCGCAGCAACCACACGAAACACCCACAGTAACGGAGGAAGCACCCGCCCCGCCCCTACAGTCCTTCTCGAGCCCCTCTAGCACGCGCGCTCTTCTGGGCACGCCAACCTCACTTCCGGCAGCGGGAGGAGGAGGCGGCGGGGAGGAAAAGGGGGGACGACGAGGAAGGTTAGCGGGGAGGCAGAATCAGCAGCGCGCTTGCGCGAACTTGCCTCAAATTGGAGACACCCCCCCCAATGCCTCTCACACAATATACAAACAGACACGCCCACCCTTTCCTGCTTTGGCCCCACCCTTATCCCCCCCACCCCCTTCCCCCGCCGCCAATCCTCCCCGGCTCGCGAGCGAGCCTTTAGGCCGCGGCGTGCGCGCGTCGGCGCCCTTGTCTCGGCTGTGGCGCGCGCGCGCCCGGCCGAGGTTGCGGGGTGGGGGGGCGTCTCCTTTGCCTCAGCGCCCGCGAGGCGATCCGGGCGGGAGGCGGCGCTGCTGCTGCTGCTGCTGGTTGCGAGCGAGGGCGGCCGCCGCCGCGCTTGGGCTGGGCTTCCCTGGCAGGGCCCTTCCGCTCTCGGCATGTGAAGCGAAGAGCGGCTGCAGGCTGCCGAAGGGGCGGCGGTCGCCTCGGGCTTCCCAGTGCGGGGACGGGCGTGCGAGCCCCCCGGCGCGGTCCCAGCCCCTCCGGGGAAGGGCGGGTAGGCGGGCGGTGTCTCTTCCTCGCCGCCGCCCTCCTCCTCCTCCTCCTCCTCCTCTCCGCCCGGTCGCTTCCTCGCGTCCCTCCGGTGTCGACAACACGCTTCTCGCCCGCCATGAAGAAGTTTTCTCGGATGCCCAAGTCGGACGGCACCGGCGGCAGCAGCGGCGGCGGCGGCGGCAGCGGCGGGGCATCGTCGTCGTCGTCGGGCGCTGTCGCGGGCTCCCTGGCGGTGGGCAGCAGCAGGGTCTTCGCCGTGGGGCGCTTCCAGGTCACGGTGGAGGAGGTGCTGGCCGAAGGTGAGAGCGGGCGGCGGGGCCTGGAGCAACCCCGACGCCGCCGCTTCCCTTCCCGGTCTTGGCGTTTCTGCAGAGGCGAAGGAACTCCCGGCCGGTGACAGGCAGGCAGGCGGGGCGGGGTCCTTCCCTTACCCCGCTTCTTATAGGGGTGCTCGATGCCTCCCCGGACGAAGGGCGCAGAAGTTGCCGACGTGGTGCTTCCCTGCCGTCCGACTTCTGCTTTTCTCACCCCGAGAAAACCTGGGACTGCTGGGCACAACAAGCCTTTGGTTCTCCCCCCCCCCAAGGGTTGGGGTGTGTGTGTGTGTGTGTGTGTGTGTGTGTGTGTGTAGCTGGGAAGCGAGCAAAGCCAGCGTTTGGGGGAATCTGTGTGGGTTGTGGGGTTCAAGGACCGCCGTCGGGTCATTCCCAAAGGGGAATGATCCGAATCAGAATGCAGCTGGAAGGGATCTTGGAGGTCTTCTAGTCCAGCCCCCTGCTCAAGCAGGAGATCCTCTATATTACCATTTCACATTCGACTGAATCAAATCCTATCTTGATTAGGGCATAGGTGTAAAATTGAAATATTGGTTCTTATTGTAATATTTGAGGAGGGGGGTCTGTGCTTCCTGCAAGGGAAATTGGCTCCCAGGATGTAAAGATACTCACTTGGAAGGGGAAGAAGGGTAAATGAGGAGGGAAAAAAATATTATTATGGTTGATCACACAGTCAGCCAAATGTTTAGATTGGATTTGGCATTTTTATCCACTTAGGTTATCAAGGACCTGAGAGAGGCAGTTTTATTATGTTCAATTTTTATGCCATCTGTTACAAGGCAGTGGACATATGTAATACTCCTGTTTTCCCCACAGGAAACACCTCTGTGAGGTGGGTTGGGCTGAGAGAGTGACTGGCCCAAAGTCACCCTTAAGCCTGTCAATCAAATAAAAGCTTGTCTTCTTCTTGTTTGACATGGTCAGAGGACATCAAGGTCCACTTGAATGGTTTACATTCATCCATCATGTGAGCCTCTGTACATTAGGGTTAAGGATGTTGTAAATCCATTGGTAATCAACCTCTGTACATTGGCTAAGGGTGTTGTAAATCCATTGGTAATCAGCTCAAGTATCTAGGTACATAACTTATTATTGTTGAGGGTGGTTATAAGTGAGTAGAGGGTCTGTTTCTCCCAGAATGGCATATAGAGATGGAGATACAAGATAGCAAATTAAGCACTGGAGATAGGTATGTGAAAATATAGTTAAGTGAAATGACTGAATTTTATCAGCTGTTTGCATTCTAAAGTTAAGAAACTCATGTTTAGGATTCATCTAAAGGTTTCTCATTAAGATAGTCAAACACGGAATAACAGTAGAAAGATTGTATACTTATGGGCCTGTCCCTTCCAGAAAGGCCCTTGTCATACTGTATTTGTATGTATAAATAATTTTATACAGTAATTTAGAGGCATTCCATTGTCACTGTAAAAATCTGTGCAGGAACAATAACATAAGAATAAGCCATTTATTAACAACACTGTGAACCTGGCTTGAAAGCAGGTTTGTAACTAATACAATTAGTTCAGAAGAAGTGTTACATGTTCAGATTTCCCAGCCTCTGAATGGTCACATGCTGCACCAATTTAAATTTCCAAGCCATCTTCAAAGGCAGATTTACATGAAGTACATTATAATTGTCCTGTTTGGCTGAAAATGATTCCTACTGTTGAACTTTTGCATGTTTAAAATAAAACTTTGTGTTTGGGGGAAGGGGGATTCCTGTAAAGTATTCAAAACAAATTTAGTATTTTTAAGGAAATAGCATGACTTTGTATGGGTGTCGTTGAATTCAAAGGAGAAGTATTTTCCTCATTTATGAGTTTCACTAATGTCTGTTTTCTACTCATATTTGTAGTTAAAATAATGAAAGGATTTGTCCTGAAAGAATGTCTGCCTCTTTCCATAAATAAAAACATGACAGATTGCCTCTAGTTCGTAGTGTGACTGATACATTTGTAAAATAACTGGGAGTTTTAAGGAATTGTATAAAAACTACAGCCCCAAATTTGATGCTCTTCAAGTGTCACAAAGTACCTTATTTTTGTTTTTGTTGAAACAGAATAAGGCAGCTTTCACTTTGGAAAGTTTTGCATACAGCACTGTTGATGATTACTGAGGTAAAGCTGACAGTGGGAAAAAGATGTACAAGCTGCTTTGTGGGCATAGGTTAGTGATATATTTGATAAAAAAGGGAGAGAGAAAGATGTCTTGCAGTCAGATACATTGTGTCTGGATTTGTTTCTCCAATATAAAAGCTTGCAGATGTATTTGATTATTGTTAGGATACGCTGGTTAATTTATACAGTATATGCTGAAAACTTGAGCGTCTTTTGGTATTTCTTCTAAATATTTAGCAATAAATTATGATTCTTATGGAACAGATACCCCTCTTCCCCATGACTGGGTTATAAGGCAAATTGTAAGCGTAATCCATTTCTCCTCAACTCTGTAAAATAACCAAAATTTAATGCTGTCATAAAAAACTGCATCCTTCAGAGGTTTGTTTTATTAATCTTGCTTTAGATGTTTAAGACTCTTTATAAATAGTATTTAGCTGCAGCATAAATTCATTATTAGATAACTTCTAATACTTGTTATAATCTAGTGGTCATATTTAGAATTTTGAAGTGAACTGAAATTGCAAAATGGTTGCTGGGAGGCATTGCCTATTCATAATGTAGATGCCATGGAGGTCATAATGGGATACAAAGCATTAATTTATAGAATGTTACTGCCACTCCTTTTCTGCTGTTCTGGTTTATTCTTGCCCTTTTTCAGAGGAAGGGGGGTATAATGAAAAGAAATACTAAGTTACAGCCGTATGATAACACTTACGTGAGTCCATGAGGGGATTGGAGATATTTTTGGAAATAAAGATGATGTTGGAGGCTAGCACTTCACTTTGCAATTCTGGCAACCTCTTTTATAATTCAAATAATTATACATACATATCCATCATACTATGATAGTGTTATGCAAAGTACACAATATGAATGAGAAGTTATAGTTTTGGTTAATCAATGCTTTCACATAATACTTTTGAGTAAGATAACAAATAGAGTAGAAGATGTTGAACTTAAGTTATACTTAGTCTGAATGCAGCATTCTATACTAGTTATAAGAGCATACTACCAATCAAAACTGGGTATAACTTAAGTGGTATATTTTAGCCAATATGCTACAAACAGAGCCCAAGCCCAGTTTACTGAATTGTCCTTGCACTTTTCTATGCAAGCTAAGTGTTGCCTGCATCCTCCTAACAAAGTATGTGCAGTAGTTATTTATTTAGAAAGTCTGATAAGAGGCTGTGTCTGAATCTATTGGTGCCATTGGACCTACTGGAATTAGATAATCTTTTTTAATAATGTGTCATCTTAGGTAGCCTGTGTTGCTCCAACTTTGAACCGTGTGTGTGTGTGTGTGTGTGTGTGTGTGTGTGTGTGTGTGCATGTGCCTTTGAGTCAATGTTGGTGCCTTGTGACTTCTTGGACAAATCTTGGCAAGCTTTCAGAAATGGCTTGCTATTGCTTCCTTCCTAGGGTTGAGAGAGAGGAATTGGCTCAAGGTCACCCAACTGGCTATATCAGTGTTTCTCAACCTTGACAATTTTAAGGCATGTGGACTTCAACTCCCAGAATTCCACAGCCAGCAATGCTGGCTGTGGAATTCTGGGAGTTGAAGTCCACACGCCTTAAAATTGTCAAGGTTGAGAAACACTGGGCTATATGCTTAGAGTAGAACTAGAACTCACGGTCTCCCATTTTCTAGTCTGGTGTCTTAGCCAGTACATCACACTGCTCTCTAGCATGTTTATTTTTTCCTTCTTTCGATCATGTCCAATTCTTGGAAACTGCACAGACAAGTTCTTGCAGTTTTCCTGGCAAGGTTGTTTAGAAGTGGTTTGCCATTGCCTCCTTTCCAAGGCTGAGGTAAACAGATTGGCCCAAGATCACCCAGTTTTGTGATTAAGGTGGACTAGAAATCACGGTCTCCTAATTTCTAGTTGGATGCCTTAATTACTAAACCAAACTGACTGAAGAACCCTTTGAATTAATGTCAGACCGATCCCGTTCTCTCAGCCCTGCTTGTCTTAAGAGTGATAGTTATGGGAAATAAAATGAAAGAGGAAACAGTCTTAAGCCTCTTGGAGTAAAGGCAGGATATGAATGTCCCTAATCCATAAGTAGTTGTCCAGTATATTTGAGAAGGCATATATTGAGAAAAAGCTGTCAGTAGCTGTTTGTTTAGGGATACCAAGAAGACAGTTGTTACTAGAGTATGATGTTTAAGGCAATAGCCTCCATATCTTTCTCAGGCTTGCGGTTTGAAAAAAAGACATGTATTATTGACCTGAGTGACAAGGAACTGAATGACCGTTTGTGTATTTTAGAGCATTTATTTGCCAAGCTGGGGTAAACTGATTCAGCAGCCTGTGTATGAATTTAGTTATCTAAATTGATCTTGGGGCAATCTCTCAGCCCAACTCACCTCACAGGATTGTTGTGAGGATAATAGGGGAGGAAGGTGTGTTGGATATATTCACCGCTTTGAGTTTATAAGAATAACAAAAGCGAGATATAAATAAATAAAATAAAATAAACTTTAAGATAAATGTTAAAGTAAATATGCTGGGTGGAAGGTGCTTAGCTATACCTGATGGTAAATACAACCCAGTTGAGTCAACCTTGCAAGCCCTTAAGTGGCAAATATTATTTACACAGAAAAAAGTACACATTAATGTACTCTCTGTACATTGTCAATAATTTCCATATTACACTGTACACAGTTTTGCTGCCGCATTAGTGAGTTTGATGTTATCAGTCAAAGTTGCCGATAACTAAAGTGTGTGGTTTTCAGTCCTAAAGGCAGGCACTCTCAAAAGCTTTGTGGTATTGTATCTCACTAAAATAATATATTTGTGTGATTCTTAAGCAGTGCTTGATAACAACAAAAGCAATAAT